CATTGCCTTATGCAACTTAAGCCCTGCTTTTGTTTTGGATCAACTTCCCTCTAGTTTATCAGATGTCTAGTTATGTGATCTAGTTTGTTACAGAGATTTAAACTTAGCCTGTCTATTTCTGTAGTTGGCCTGAATCGGTGTTTGTGCGCTCTGTACTGCACATTGAGTGCTGCTTTTTTGTCTACACGAACATCACTACTGCAACTTCTCACTGACTCCCATGAGACCAAGGTAAACTTTGTACATGAGTAACGTGATCTGCACACATAAACACTGCACAAGGTACAGAGTACACGAGAAGTTACTCAAATGCCTGCTTTTCTGTAGCTTTGTCAGCACAAACCCTGGACAGCACCTTAAGAACACAGAGCATGTTGTAAGCACATGTCAGCTTTTTGTTTCCTGTCACCTTGGCAAGAATACAATAGAGACATCACTATGTTGGTAATTCAGAAAGGTCATGAGCTGGAGTGATTCCAGGCGCTCCCTGGTGGAGTCACCTTTAGGCTGTGGGAAGTGGGGGACGTCTGGATGGAAGGATATAAATGGATAGAACAAACAGTCAAAGTTGATGCTGACACAAGACTCTTCCCCTCTTTGTTGTGTGAAGGAGTTCAAAGTGATTGAACTCCAGCCCACACATCGGGCGGATGTTAAATTAAATATTTTGAGATTGTTGCTGTTGTTTCATGACCGATGCACCCGCAGGAAGTGACAATTTATTCTTCCAACGACAAATAGTTTATGTGTAGTTTGTTTTTTCTGTTGGAGTCTCTAATTTATGACCGCACGTAAACAAACAAATCGCAATCACATGTTTTTTTTTTAATATGGTTACAGAACAAATTACTTTAATCTTTATTCCTAAATCTAAAGAATGTTGTGACTTTGTTTAGAGATAAAGTGCGTACGTGTGCTTGGATAATTCAGTCATTATCTTTTTTACACTTAGGAATTTGAGTTATTGTAGAGGAATCCCGGTATGTGTGAGTGCTGTGGGGCAGAGAAAAGCTGCTTTGACAGAGGTGTGTAAAACATCAGCTTTGGGAGGCAGACAGACACTGATGGGCTTAGTGAGATTCAGCAATGTGGAAACTGGCGTCGCACAAACAATTCTCACACGTCACACTTTCCTTTTTTCTGCCTCAAGCATTGTTTCTACTGCTCATTCTCCACACTTCTGTAAAGCAGAACAAAGTCAACAAACTGAGGGCTAACTCAGTAATAGGAATGGTTATTTCATGGATGTGCATGTACAGTCAGGCATGTTTTATGTGTATCTGCTTCAACCACAACATTTGGACTGTGTGAATCAACTCACTGTCAGTTCCAAGCTTTTGTGCGTTCCTCTGTGTTATCTCCCTCTTCCTGTCCTGTTTGAGCATCCTCTAATCCACTTTGCCTGTTGATGCAGTTGCCACTCAAAAAACAGCCATATATGGGGAAATGCCCTTTTCCCTCCCTCTCCATCTCTCTCCAGCTCTCTCCCTACCTCTCTCTCTGAATGTATTTTCTCAATTATATTAGACACCCCCCTCCACAGTTCGCACTAAAAGGTCAACCGCTGCAAAACGGCTTTTTGTTATTTTATTTACGTGCACTGTTCATAGCTGGCCAGTTACCGTGAAATTAAACAGAAGCAGACACATCCCAACAAACCCTTTCTTTGCACATAAATCCTGTGAAAGCACCTTGAATGAGCTCCCATCAAATTGATTTTATCAGACCCTTTCCTCATGCCTGTTTTTATTATAAAGAAAGAAATTACAGGGTCTTTGTTGAGGTGTAAACAAAACCACCATTTAAGTAATGAAAACAAGGTGAGTGATAAAAGCTAACCTTGATCCCCTTGGCTCTCAGGGTAATAACCCATTTTAATATAAATAAATACTTCATCTTCTGAGGCAAGAGTTCCTGTAGTATTATAACTGCCAATAAAAGCAGAAGTGTGGCTATATTTGGAAACAATAACCAGGACTATGGTTAGTCAACCTGATGTAGTAAATAAAGCTATTGGTAGATGTAGATACCTTTTATGTGAGGAAAACTTCTCCCAAACTACATGTTCAGCTTCTGTGATGGACAGAAAGTATATATTTAAAAAACTATCCAGTTAAAAGAGAGAAATCTAAAAGGGAAATGTTTTTTTTGCTTCATCTGTTTCAAAGGATATGCTCCAGTGATCTGGGCTAACACAGACACTGGAGTTAGTTGTGTAAGTCGCTGGGGGCTCAGATATGCCTCCCGGTGTCTTGGAATTAGCTCCCGGCCTCTGCATTCATCAGGTCTGCGGAGGGGTCTTGAGTTAAGCAATGCAGACACATTGCTCAGTGTAGCAAAGCTGCTGGCTCCAGGTCTGATTTATTCTGACTTTGGTCAGGGTTAGGGAGCTCCGTCACTCTTCAGAGCCACTGGATGCACTCCTTGCCTGACCCTAAATTGATTCGGAGAGGGACGTTTACCTATTTCCCTGCCCTTGTGACAGCCTTACAGAGGAGTAATTTATTTCCTTTATACCCCCATAGCTGCCACAGGCCAGGCAGAAAGCTCTGCCCCGCTGTAATGAAGAAGTGACCTTGAGTGTAGACATCAACCTTGCTTCAGCTTGAAACCATAAGTATCAGGACATTCAGCATAAACACACCCTCAGTAACACACATTGCAGAATTACAAAAAAACACAGTGACCTACCCGGGACACAATTTATCATTTGCTCTGACAAGGGGGGATGAAGGTGGTTGAGGTGATAATAGCTACAGTCAGATCTTCTATATTCAGGAATCAAGACCGGGAAGTCACCGGGAAATGATCTGCAATGATGATACTATTTTTAGTGGTTATTGGTGCCCTTTAATATCTGAATAAATCATTATGTAGCTGTTGTAATGCTCACTAATGGCTATACAGACAATATGATGCACAATGAAAGTGTATTGGCCTCACCCATCAATCGGAAAGGCTGGATGGATATAGAATCTGGCCTTTCCGGAGGAGAGGAATTATCCTTTCACCTCTCAACTTCCTGGCAGGAAGAGGAAAATACATTAACACCCAAAGTGTTTTGGGAGAAGTTCATCAATTTCCTGATACGACAAAGTGAGACTTGGAACGTTGTTGCCATAGCCTTTTGTTTTGGCAGTGAATCAAAGTTCAGACTTGTGCCTGCTTAACAAATGCACAGTGTGGGGCTGAACCGCACAGAGGGAGAGGTGAAGTTTCTCCTCTGACCCATACAGGCAGGGGCGCACCCACCCACCTTGGAGGAGTCTTTTCTGAGGTGCATATGATAAAAGTCTTAATACTTTACTATAATGTGGCACATTGTTCAAAATTACCATTATTGTGTGTGTGTGTGTGTGTGTGTGTGTGTGTGTGTGGTGAAGGGGATGATCTTTTGTTACAACAGAACTTTTACTCTTTGATTATGTCTACAGCTTGAGAAAACCGGACTGGCAGCTGAATTCATGCGAAACTTGATATAGAAACCGCTTGTAGTTCAATGCCATTCTTTCCCAGACATAATCTGATGAATAGCTCCTGTGTGTGCGCGCTCCAGTTAACAGTGCCCATCTGTCATGATAGTTAGTTTCACTTCAGTGAATTTATGTTGGCTAGCCATCTAACTTTAATTCTCTAATTCCAACATTGTTTTAAGGCAAGTGTTAAATTATTTAAAAAAATTGGGCAACAACCTGTAATGATTAAACAAATAAATACAAACCAGTTGTCTTACCTTGGCATACAAAATCGGGACAGGAATAATTTCTAATCCTTAGAGAACAACATTTCTGAAGCTGACTTCACTTACAGGTCCTTGAGTATACAGTCATAAATCTGCACACAAATATTAAGCTGAAGGGTGCAGAAACATGAGAGATTAGCCACCGACAGACACATATATACACAAACCAACGCACAATCTCCCTTCAGGCATACATTTTCACCAGACAAGATTCCATCAACCAAACCAATATACAGTATTATTGTGATCTTGTGTAATGTACTGTTTGAGACACATGTTTGTAATTCAAATCCCAAATGATAGAAACTCAAACACAAGACGAAGTGTATATCATTTTACTGACAAAGAGTCAAAGAGAAAGTGACAGACAGTGAATACAGAGGGTGAGTGAAAACAAGAGTGGAAAGTAGAGAGAGAGATTAGGAAAAAAATCTAATATTCAACAAAATAAACCTATTGCTCCCATATTTGGTGAAGATTAGATTTCATACTTGACAAATTAAATTGAACACTGTTTTCATTCATTTCAGATTTATGATAATTTGAGCCTCGACTGTATTTCCAGATTGTATGGATCATTAATTGCAACAAATAACTTGATTCTCATTTTATTAGTGCTTGACAGATGCATTTTGCTACTGTTTTAAAGATCAGGGAAATCAAATCAATTGCAGATGAGCCTGCCCCTACGGTGGCCCTGAAGTGCAAGTCAAAACAGCATTTCAGGAAACACTACAGCATTTTACAAAACTCCACAGCATTTCAGAAAACACAACAAATGCTGTGGTGTTTTCTGAAATGCTGTGGTGTTTTGTGAAATGCTGTAGTGTTTTGTGAAATGCTGTAGTGTTTTCTGAAATGCTGTGGTGTTTTCTGAAATGCTGTGGTGTTTTCTGAAATGCTGTGGTGTTTTGTGAAATGCTGTAGTGTTTTCTGAAATGCTGTGGTGTTTTCTGAAATGCTGTGGTGTTTTCTGTAATGCTGTAGCGTTTTCTGAAATGCTGTGGTGTTTTCTGAAATGCTGTGGTGTTTTCTGAAATGCTGTAGCGTTTTCTGAAATGCTGTGGTGTTTCCTGAAATGCTGTGATGTTTTATGAAATGCTGTTTTGACCACCGTATGCCCCAGATCCCCTAGCAAGCTTAGTTTTTGGACCTACATGTTTTTTAAACCAAGTGTAAGGCTCTTGAGAATTGTCTCAAGAAAAGAACACAGCACTATTTACAGGGACTATTATGAGAAATGAATTGTTTGACAATATACATTAAATCATAATCTTATTTTATGCACACATATATTTATCACATATACTGTATGTACAGTTGCTTATGTAATCTTATAAAAACAAAATGTCAGTTCATTTTTTTATTTTAACTCTGACATGCAGTGGAGGGGCACAATACATTACTCTTTACACAGAAACAAAAAGGTAAAAACTGTACATGAACATAAGGCAGTACCATTAACTGAAATATATATATATGTTTGTATATTTGAATTTATACAAAAATAAATAAAAAGATAAAAGAACGTATGGCTCGTAGTGTGATATAACCAATGATTCTGCTCTGGTGGTAGCTTCGTCTAAGAATAACAGGCTGACATCATCCAGAGATCATTCAGGCCCCTCTGACATTACAGGCACTTGGTTTGACTGGAAGTATTTTCTCTGTCAACATGGAGTTTTTCTTAAACTGACATGCGCTCTTAATGACAGCAGCTCCTATTCCCCTCTAATCTCTCTTATCTGTTGAAGCCTTAATAACTCTTAAGACTTGCAAACTACAGTCGAGCTTTAAAAAATCTTTGGTTTGACATCCCCATGTTTCTCTATACACATATCAGACTTTTACAAGTAGTACGATTCACATTCAACATTGACCTTACACAACATGTATTCATATTTAATGTGCCTTACATTTTCAATAAATAAACTTGACATTGTTCATCATTGTACATGGAATGCTGTTTGTTTTCTGTCCTGCGTCTTCTGATTAAAGTTTTTGTTTCGTACATTCAGGAGAGCTTGACAGGAAGGTAATGTTATGTACCTCATATGCTGTTTTCGAAATACAATCACATAATTGTGTCCCGGTTGGTTGCGGAAACCTGGATTTATCATTTGTATTCTTCTAGGCTTAATCCTCCTCCTGCCACTTCATGTTTTAGTGTGTGTGTGTGTGTGTGTGTGAGTGTGTGTGTGTGTGTGTGTGTGTGTGTGTGTGTGTGTGTGGTTTGCTGTCTGCATTAATATGGTATCCCAGTTCCTCGCGGGGCAGTGTCTTGACTTCTCATGAGTGAATCTCTGTCCATCTTGCTAACAAATCACTCTTGTTTCTTGGAACAGGATTCCTCCTGAGTGGATATTAATACAGCCTCAAGCATCCACCTCTAATCCACTTTCCTTGATTCAACAAAGTTTCTTCACATTATTAGATTTTGTACTACAGCCCTCTCAAGACTGCTCCTGTAGATCTAACATCCATGTCATCCCCTGTCTGTTCTCACTCCAACAGCCGTCTCGTTTTCTCTTACTGTCTGCATGTGTGTGTGTATCTCATTCCCTCAGTTTGCTGCTTTGTTTTCTCTACACCCACAGCTTTGTCTGCTGCTTTGTACATTAGGCGTGCCGCAAGGCCATTAATGCGCTGATCCACCCCTTGCATTCCTGCTGCCCTGCTCTGACTGAGAAGGGAAACAGTTTTGGTTCGTATAAATCAATGCACAGGGTCCTACTCCACCACAGCCGAGGTAAAAGCGCTCTTTACTGTCAAGGCCATTTTGCATAACAGATGCTGTCACTGACAGCCACTGTATCTTTCACAGTGCCCTCATAAAATGGTGTTGACATCTTCAATGACACCCTTCCTCTCTGTTGTGGTGGAGAGGACTGGTGATTACAAGATAGAGGTCCTGTTGACAGAAGCTGTCCTTTGTTGTTGGAAACATCTGGTTGAGGTCAGTGCTCTGTTCTCAGGCTGTGCACTGCAGCACATCCCTGCAACAGACCTCTGTGCACCCTAGTTGTCTTTTCAAACATGTCTCTGTGTATCTGTTTCTGCCTCATCAATCTTTGTCAGTACAGGCTGTCCTTGGTGGTGGAGGTGTGTGTGGTGGTGGAGTCGTCGGGCAGGGAGCCCCGGCGGTCGGGTCGTGTCCGGCACTGCAGGAGGTTCTGCAGCTCTCTGGACACGCTGCTGGAGAAAGCTGTGTAAATCCACGGGTTGGTGCACGAGTTCAGATTCCCCAGCAGCATCAGGATAGTGAAGGCCACTGCTGAGGACACAAACACACACACTATAAGAGAAGTGCATATCCAATAACAGAGACAAGTCTAAACCTGAAATCTCATACATGAATACTTGAGACAGATGATCACATTGTTCTCTTCTCTGTTATGAAACAAACAGAAATATGTACACCATTCAGTTCGAATATAAACCATTCATTATTCTTGTTTCTCGTTTTGTTTCCTTCAGGAATAGCTATAAATATCCCAGAGGGAACAAATCTTGTATACTTCCCTTTTCAGTTTCCTCACTGGCAATGACAAATATTTTATAATAACTAAAGTATGCTTATTTCAACGCAGCCATTTGAGGACAATAGATCAGGAAAAACTGATTTAAGAATACAAACATGATAATAATCAGCTGTTTGTGTGTGTGTTTGTGTGGTGGGGGGGATAGGTGCTGCCTGGCAGTGAGGACTCATTCATGTGTATGCGCACGTGCATTGGAGTACACTATGCATATGCAAGTGAGATTCTGTGTATGTGTTTGTGCGCGTGAAAGCTCACGTGCCTCGCTCTGTGTGTCTGCTTGTGATTTCAACAATGTGTGTTAGCTGCTGGAAAAGATGATGTTGATGAATTATCAACATCTGGCTGTGTTGCAAAATCAGCAGGGGATATAAACAGGTTATTTACTGGCCTCTGATGTTTGTCTTTACCTTCGGATCAGAGGACACCCACACAGTCCATACTAGCAACAACAACTTAATGCTACACTATACACACTTGCTTCATCACTGGCTGCCAGATAATACATCAGCAGATGCTGTTTGTGTGCCCATAATGCACAGAGGCCATAGACGTCATCCAGAGGTTTCTGTTTGTGGTTCAAAACAAACATTGTTTTTGACCTTAAACTTCACTCACTGCTACATCCGAGCTGGAGCGTGCTGTCCTTGGAATAATAAGTGAGCATTTAGACTCACTAAGATGGACTACAGCATTGATCAGAGGCTGTTGTTATAAATCAGCTTCTGTTTTTGGCTGCTTAAAATGGATTGGGTTGCACATTAAGGCCAATTAAATGGATAACAAGGACTAAGGAGGCTCAATCCATCTTAGAAAAACATCTTAAGTGATTCACTGGTGATGGTTGTTTTTGTTGTTTGTTGAGACTGAATTGTATACATAGATAACAGTTGCAATATTGCAACAAACTCTCATAGGCAGAAACATAAAGCATGTTAGTGACTGACCATGTTCTGGAGGGTGGGGGTCCCAGGCCGCCCAAAGCTGGACGATGAAGTAAGGGGCCCAGCAGATAGTATAGACCAGCACGATGACCAGGGTCATTCTCACAGTCTTTGACATGGCTTTTGTGATGCTGTGATGAGGTGGAGTGGCTGGAAGGGGGGGGCGTGCGTAGTCGAGGGAGCAGCGAGGTGAGCCTGAGGCCAGCTCGTAGGGCGTGTACGAGTCCTGGCAATCTGAGCCGCTCAATGTTTGCTGCTGCGGCGATGTTGTTGTCACATGTTCACTACTGCTACTGTACTGGACAGCCGATGGTACAAAGTCATAACACTCTCCTGCTTGGCTGTCATGGGTGTTATTGTGAGGGTTGTTATTCACACCCTTTAGGAGTTGTCCTCCTCTGCCATCCCTGCCCCCCCCTCCGGACGACCGTCTCCCCCTATCCCTGGACCGCTCGTCATCCTTTTTAAAGCTGTGGAAGCGGAAGAAGATTTCTTTCTTCTTTAACTCAGCCATCACAATTCTCTCTGACTTCAGATAGATGTTATTGTGGATTTCTCTGAAGATTCTTATCTGAAAATAAAATGTATTTTTTTAAAGAATTAGCACAGTTGAATATGGGTGAAACAAGGCATTACCTTATTTACAGACTTAACTGAGAATTAAGTTTTATGACGTTCACGATTAAATCTTGGTTGTAATAGTGGCAGGAAATTGGATGTGTTGTCCTATCAGCAATAAAGCAAGACATTATTCAATACCACTACTCTTTCCGTCTGTTAGCATCACAAAAGCTACAATAACATTTTATTGCAGAGAAATCTTAACACTCTCCTGAGCAACTAAAACAATATTTTGAAGTCAAATAAAAGATGAATCAAACAAACTATTCTTAGTTTTATTTTTTCTTTAAAATACCATTGAACCTCTGATCCTTTCCCCCCTTTTTACTATTAAAAACAGCTATATAAGGGCAGGATTTAGACTGTAAACTTTCAGATTTACTTCCTTCTGCAGACACTACACCATACTTCTGAAAAAGTGTCTAGAGGCCCCTCAATTTGAAATTCGATAATGAAAAAAGGTCACGGATTCTATGTTTGGCCGAGATCTGGTACATTCCACTTCCTGGCGGGAGGTTCTCGGAGTGAGCAGATTTTCTGAGCAGCCGTCTCAGCAGTGGTCCTTAAAGTGCTGTGTTAATTAGGGGAAATTGCTGGACCCTGGAAATATCTTTCTCTAAATAGAGCAGTGGGGCTGATGGGAGGCAGCCCAGATCGCTATCCACCATGGGATGCAATGCAACATAACACCAACCAAAGACCCCCACGGGTAATCAAACAATGCCTGCCAAATGCACCCTCCATGAAAGCAAAACAACATTTCATTCATGCCACACACTTAATTGTTGGAAAGTGTTGCCCACAGCTTGTTTCCTTGTCATTGGTCTTAATGGGCGGTGCAGATACTGGCTACTATTACCTGACAGATGGTAATGATGAAGGCGGGCAGGAGGAAGACAGATACGGTCATCCAGGTGACGTAGGCCTTCAGCCCCCACGGCTCAGCAAAGTGACCCCAGCAATCAAACTCTCCTGTAACAGTTTCTGTGCGAGAGAAGATGAAAGCCTGGCAGACCAAACAGAAGAGGGTGGTCAGCACACCCGCAGATATAACTGTCAGTTATTAGCTGAACTCTAATGACCTCTGGGAGCTAAAAATAGACCAACATCTTGAGTTCTACTGTTGAAATCAGGGTGTTAACACACGCTGAGGTCTCATTTCCTATTGCACCATATGTCTGCACGCGTGTTCATCCCTCCCTACCTGTGGTATGCTGAGGACTAGCGCCAAGCCCCAGGCCACCATGACAGGGGTGTTCCAGCGGGACATTGTGCCCCCTCTGTAGGCCTGCAAAGGGCAGCAGATGGCCTGGTGCCGGTCTACCGTCATGGCAACTATCATGTAAGAGGAAGCAAACATGCCCACAATCTGCAAGTACTTGACGGACCGGCAGAGAAAGTCAGGCCCCTGAAACTTCCCAGTGATGTCCCAAATGAGCTGGGGAAGAACCTGGAGACAGATTGAAAAAGATGCACTTGTTTAAAATTGGCTCCTAGAATAGTAAAGCATTTTTATCTTGTTTAATCTTTAGAAATGTAGAAAAAACAGAAACTAAAGGACAAGCCTGTTGACATAACCATTACTAACGACAAATTGATCCTACCAAGTATTGACTGTGTAGCCTGTCCTCTCTGTCACAGACCTTCATTGTTTTCTCAAATGTTTTTGTTATTTAATAATCATTTCGGGACATTTTGGTCCATTTTTAGATCACTATAGAATAATATTTGGACAACTTTCACATGATGAATGCTTTCACAAACTGACTATGCCAGTGGTTCCCACACTTTTTCTGCAGGGACTCCTTTTGTAGATAGAACATTTTAATTAAATGTGTCTGCGTTGGCTCTGTTTCCTAACATGTGTGCACTTCAAGCCCACCCCCCATTTGGGAAACCCCTGGACTAAAGTCATACTTGAGGATGCTGTGATGGTAGCAAGTAACTGTGAACTGACCTGAAAGAAGGCCACCACCAGGTCAGCCACACACAGGTTGAACATGAACACGTGCATGGGTGCATTATGCTTCCTCCTCCTCAGCAGCACCCACAGCACAAAGCTGTTCCCCAGAGTGGTAAGGGCCAACACCACCCCGAGCACTGCTATCTCTGCCCGGGCCAGGTCCAGGTCCCTCTGCGGGGGCTGGGGCAGCGTGTGCTGCGTCGTGGTGGAACCATTTTCAGGGTCTATCCCGAAGAAGGATCCCCCGCTTTGAGAACTGTTGAGGGAGTTCAGTTCAGAGACAAGCAGAGACGAGGAAGAGAAGTTGTTCCTTCCTGCTGCGAGCAGAGAGGAGAGGGCCAACCCATCCCAGTCCGTTTCCACACTGATGCTTTCCATTCCTGGAAGCCAAAAAACAAAGTGTTAATGTGTGAAGCAAATAATAGCGGTTGTTGTTTATGGGTAATTAATGATGCCATGAGCAATATGGTCACCAGGAGTCAAACGGGTGCATGGTCATAACACCGTATACGCTCATAATATTAGAGGATACAGATTTTATCAACAAACAATTAACTTGTTCTGTATTATCACAATATTAATGTCATGCCTGACCTCTTTATCAAATGTCCTAGTTGCCCTAAAATGTGTCAGCTGGGAAATTGTTCCTGATCATATCACTGGGAAAGAAAGAAGCCAAACACTTGGGCCTTTTAGTAAAAATACATAACTGAAGGCATGAGTTTACAATCATTAAAATGTTTTGGTGCATCTGTTACTTTTTCACATCGTAAACTAATACAAATACCTCCTGTTATGCAGTTGGGAAAAAAATCTGACCCAAAATAATGAAAGCCAGATACTGTTACAATCTGCCATTTGAAAGTTGTTGTTTTTGGGGCTGTCTCTAATTTTTTAATAAGTATTCAGTGTGTCTGTATCTCTCAATGCTGCCAGTTCTGTTTGACGCAAGTCCAGAATGGTTTATTTTCTTTTTCATATTTTCTCAAGGTTGATTTGACAGCTTTCCCCTCTATCCCACTACTCTTGTTCCTTCACCTCTGCTTTAATAATTGCTCTCATCCCATGCTTACCCCCATACATTCCTGCTTTCCCATGTTTTCCCCCCTTTCTCTTTCTTTTCTCTCATGCATCCAGTAATTCTTTTCTCTTCCACCAATCTCTCTCAAGCTCAATAAACTCTACGTTTATTTTTCTTTGCTTATAAATAAATGGCTCAAAACGACAGATAGCTGATAGGAATGATCTGACAGTTTAAGAAACAGAGTCGTGGGATGATGGTGGAAGTCTTGGTCAAATAAACTGCACGTAGAAGAAAGTCTGGCAGGAAAAATGAAGGAAGATGAAAGGAGAGTGATGAAAGCAGTGTGGAGAAAGAGCAGAAAAATAAGAAAACAGTACAGAAAAGGTAACATAATAGAGTTGTGAAAAGGGAGTAAGAAAAGGAAAGAGGAGGTGGTGAAATCCCTCTCAAGAGAGTGACAAAGAGTGTGTCGATTGACACAGTGTATTATTTTGACTAATCTGCCAGGAGTGGTTTAGGTACACAAATGTTTCACTGAATGTATGCTTGGAAATGTTCCATGTCTGAAAAAGTAGGAAAGCTATCTCAATAGTATAGTGCAAATTGAGTATGACTAACAAGACTTAACAAGGTTGTTCGCACAGCTCCAGTGAGAACTCATGGCCAATTTGCTATAGTAATAGTGTACTCACTGCTGGGTGTGTGAGATAACACAGCTGAACATATTGCCGAGTGTTGCATGCTGTCTTTGCCAGAGGAATGTATTCAGATGAACGCATGACGAGCCATGCCAGCTGGACCTCTCCGCCCAGCATGAAGGTAGAGCCATGGATGAAAGGAAGAGAATCTTCTCTTAAATCAGAGAACAACTCTGACTCTGTTTGAGTGAATCCCTGCTGCCACAGCAGGCAATCACAACTTCCAAAAAACATTTCAACCAAGTCTAAATCTGTATTGGATAAGATACCTTTATTACTATGCTCAGTTATTGTCCCTGTCCAAAGGACATTTTGATAAAGGCTAGTATTCTTTCTTTTTATCTATTTATTATCCATCTTTTCTTAAATTAGGGGTTAAGACAACAAGGCTTTTTTCATCAAGTTATCTTCTGGCCTCTTAGGACCTTAAGAGCCTTGGGCCCCTCTGTAATTACAGGATAATTCATGAGAGGATTATTTGTGCTGCTGCAGTCCTTTATACCCCACTTGATAATCTTATTATGAAACGTTTATTTGCCAATGTGAGTAATTTCTGATGTGAAATCACTTTTTCAAGTATGCTCCTATGAAGATAAGGTGTAATGACTTAAGGAGGTTGGAGACATTAATCCACAGCATTATAGTAATGCTAAACTAAAATTCCAAATTGGTAGGCCTTTTAAATCAAGGGAAATTAAATAATCATAACCGGTACAAAGAACACCTCTGTAATATTGCCATATTGCTTAAAACTAATTAGCAACAAAAATCATATGCTTAAAGGTAGAAAAAAGTAAGTTTGCATGTTATGAATTTGAATATTTTATTTGTTCTTGAACTATTTACATAATGCAGTCTGTACTTCATTGACACTTTGTATGATAGATTAGCAAGACTCTATGCGGCATTTTCTCCTGAGCAGATTTATGGTTATTTTTCATATTTTAGTGACACTAAGATATGAAGAATAATAACTATCAATCTGCACTAAGTTAGTGTCAACAAATAAATTACCAAAACGCAAGTCATTGTGTAGTCTAATTATTTTTCTTTTAACATTGGAAATCTGCGCTTGAATTTGAACGTCACTACGTACGTAGCTCACGTAAACGTCGTCGTCATGGCGGCGCCGCACACGTCTTGGATATTAATTTGAACGATTTTGCTAAATTTGACTTTTAAATTAAAAAAAAAATGTACAGCGAGAGGTAGGCAGACACGGACCCCAGCCAAGCTACATTTAAAAAGGGGACAACGTGTGCTATCATTTCAAACGAACTGGTGCAAAAGAAAGGTTAGCATTGTGTGTGCTAACCACCATCAACTGCAGTGCACGGCTGTCCCTGAGTGTTTCAATGACATAACAGAATGATGAGTAAGTGTGCATTTTGTAAATAGTTTTTGTTTGAGTCTAGCTATATTTAATTGACCCGTGTATTTTAATTGTCTGAGCCCCAGAGAAAAATATAACAAAAAAAATTGTACTGAAAAATATGAAGACATTGGACTTACTAACTAGTCTAAACTATACAATCATGTTTTTAATTTGCGTAGTACGTGATGTTACAATTTACCAGTGTTCCCTAAACGTCTCATATTCAGGTAACGTCATCGACACAGCATCCTGTAACAACAACGATGCTACTGTTTCAAAGGTAAGGTCCACCAACGTAAGAAAGTAGCTAACTACATTATGTGTAAAGCGAAACAGCTATGTATTTTCAATTTGCAGATTATCTGTGAAATCAGCAGATGGAGGCGTGTTGAGGCAGCTGTTGCCGCTTCTGATGTATATTTCTGTTTCCCAGTGGTGTAAAGTAATTAAGTAGATTTACTCAAGTACTGTACTTTAATACCATTTTGAGGGAGTTGTGCTTCACTCAAGTATTACAATTTTTTGCTACTTTGTACTTCTACTTGTGTACTTTTACTCTACTAGATTGATTTTTTCCCTTTTGTTACTTTGCAGATTTTTATTAATTAACTGTATTCACCTCTTAAATAAGACTTTAGTTACACCTGGAGTAACATTCACAAGCTTCCCTAGTAATTAAAACTAGCTGCACCTTTACAATGTTTGATAAACACTAATGCATCAATAATTATAATCAAAACATAATATATATTATTTTCAAATGGGCCATACTGCATAATGATAACTTCTACTTTTGGTACTCTAGTACGTATATTCTGATGCTCATACTTTTTCTACTTTTACTTGAGTTACATTTTGAATGCAGGACTTTTACTGGTAACAGAGTTTCTACACTCATGGTACTTTTACTTAAGTACAATATCTGAGCACTTCTTCCACCTCTGCTGTTACAGTAACATACGGCCCACTTTAATACGGCGAACCATATTCAACTGTGGCCACTAGCCAGTGCTACAGCCATTTTTAGAGTTGTAAATCCACAAATACTTTCTGTGGTGACTTCCTAATTATAATATTGTATAAATCCACAGATCTACCTTGTGTAGTGATTATGATTTAGATTGTGAATATGTATTTGTGCTTGTTGAGAACTTTTTGTATGCATTTGATTCGTTAATTCTAAATTCCCGGGATTAATTCTTAATAGTTGTTTGTTATACGACGCTAAACCATTAAGTAACTTGCATTACATTTATGAAGCATATTAGCGCTGCGTTATTGATTCACGTTTTTGGTAGTAGTTTTATTTGCATTCATAACGCAGCACCAATGCCGTTACTGACCTCACGTTAGATACATTATGAATGAGTTCCTGTTCACCTGTTCTCCGGAAGGGGACACAATAGTTTCTTCAAATATGCTCATGTCTAATTTGCATGGATTGTGCATCCAAGAAGTCAAGATGGATTTTCTTAAAATGTCTCCACTACAGGAGACCCACGCGTTGTTCAACATTTCTTGCACGGATGTTTCTTGTCCCCAGAGAAACTCTGATGGATGCAGTTCACTGTATTCCTTTAAATATCCTGTCTCTTAAAAATTGATTCCACTTTGCTCTCACTTTAATAACAAAAGCACAGCACAGCTTTCCCATCTGTCTGATCGACTTAATGTAAAGCAAAAACGTATTCTGTCTCTCTGTGCTGGAAATACTGTAGACAGTGCTTTTAGTAGTTAGTGCAGTACAGTCACTTCCTCTCTTTACTTTGAGGCTTTCACTTTGATTAATGATAGAGTCAATTCCTCTCTTGTGTTTCTCTCCAGAGGCAAGGCAACCATCCGTTTCCATGTCCTCTCCATCCTATACTGCTTTCCCCCGCACACAGCAATACACTGCCTCAGGGATGACAGGAACAGGTAATTAAAGTGTGCAAGAAAACATTATAGCTAAAAAGCATTCACATCTTTCAACATCTCGGTCCTCTTTTCAGCTGTTCACACATGTTTTGGTCATTCCCTTTGACAAACTATGTCACTGCAACTATGTGTAGATCAAACATTATCTGTGTTTCAAAGTCCTGTTAAACCATATGTACAGTACGTATGTTAAGTACCAAATGTCTAAAAGAGACAGAGGGTTGTTATATTCACTCCTATGTTATTTTGTTACTATGACTTATTTTGCCATTTTGTCAAAGTGACAAACATTCAAAATAATCCAAGTTGAGAGGATACTTTCCTCTGAATTGGCTGCTTTCAGACAATCGTAGATATCTGTTATCCTCTTTTTTGGGGATTATTTACAGACCCAAAACTTAATTGTCACTATTAATAATTGTTTGAATAATATGACAATGAATCAGATCAGCAGACTTGTCATTTGCATAATCTGCCACAGTGAGAATCAGGTCTGCATTAATATCTGTCAATGTTCCCTCATTGTTTTGTGATAATGCACTTAAAGAAAACATATTAATTTAAAGTCTGCACTGCTGACCATGATCAATGCAAACTTGATCTGTACTGTGAAGGTTCACATAACAACAAAAGGTTTACATAACAACCAAAGTAAGTCGCTTTGGATAAAAAGCATCTAAAAAGTGACATGTCATGTAATAATGTATACCCGGGGGTTGCTAATAGAGTTTCAAATTGTATGTAAAAGAATAGAATACAGTTGATGTCTGGAAGGGTAGACAAAAAACAAAGAAGCAGGGTTTGCAAAATAGGTAGTTGTGATGTATAAGAGATTTTATTCAAATCCACTGCTATGCTCCTTCAAATTAAATTGCTCTTTCATACACGAACACCTTTTTTCATTACACACACTGACAGTGGGAATTCATCCTATGGCAGATTTAAAGCTAATTGGTTAACATGAAACGGTGGTGGCCTCAGTAGCAAACAAACAGTGCTTAAGCCCTGGGTGTAATAATCCAAACATAATGAGAAAAGAGAAAAGACCCTTCCCTTCCCCGTCATGCTTGTGTGTGCATATCAGTCCCATGATCAATTCCCTTTGACCAGGTTTGACCCTATCTGTCCTCATTAGCAACATTTTTTCTCCTTTCTTCCTAACCAATTCACCGTCTTCTGTCATCAGAGATCAAAATCACAGAGGAAACTGTTTCGGACATGCCTATTATTTCTGTCTGATATTATTTATCATCCTCATTAATAGACATTGGCAGCAGGAAACAAGTTTAAAATAGCCCGGCCCAATCTGCTTCTAAGCCAGCGTGTCTCAAAGTGTGGGGCGCGCCCCACTGGTGGGGCGCAGAGATGTGATAGGTGGGTCGCGAATGGACGCGATGAACGGGAGATTATTATTATTATTTTTTTTTTTTTAATACATTTTTTGGACCTCAGGCCAGAATCGAACCTGGGTCCTCGCGGGCGGTAGTGGACTGTTACAGCCGGAGACTTGCAACGGGTGTTTGCGGCGGCGGAAGCGGTACCGGCGCAGCGGCGCTGTGAAAGTCCACGGCCCACCTATTAGAGATGGGCGAGTCCTGATTCATCCGGATCATTAACCCGGATCCTAGAAATGAGCTGGTCATGACGAGTCTCCCCTCTCCATTAACCCGAGTCCTTGAGTCCCACACTTGGTGTGACGTACAAATTAAAACTATAAATTGCGTCACTCGCTACTCTCTTTATAACATGTAAAATCACATTACAACGTACCCCAAGTCCATCTACCTACCCTTTAGCAAGTATACAGTCACAGGATAGCTGCCAGAAGTGATCGTTTGGCTCAGGGGAGGGGACGCAGATCAGTGAAACTTCCTGCAGACTCGTGGGGACTCAGAGGAGCCGACGGCTCCAACAGCAGACTCGCAGATTCGCAGATTCGCAAATCCTGACTCGCTGCAACACACAGCGGATCAGACTCGTGCGGACTCGGAGCCGTAACCGTATAGCAGCAGATCCAGAGATCCAGCAGACTCGTCCTCATGCACGAGTCAACAGCAGACTCAGATTTGCCAAATCGCAAAATAACCCTTTTTTTTGTGATCAACATTTTTTATTAAAGCAAAATACACTGTGTAGCGGAGGTTAATATAACGTCAGTTTAATAGATAGATAGATAGATAGTACTTTATTGATCCCAAATTGGGAAATTGTTGTTGTTACAGCAGCATAAGGCATTTTACAATAAAACAAAACTACAAAATATACAAGAATAGAAATAAAAATAAAATATAAAATATAAAATATACATGTCGAAATAGAAAATATACATGCAGATATTATATATATATATATATATATATATATATATATATATATATATATATATATATATATATATATATATACAAATATATATATATATATATTCAAAATATATGGAATAATAATATGCTCGTGAAATGCAACAACTTTTCGGTTTCACCAATAGGATTTCTACGGTCTTGGTCATGCTGACTCATATGACTCAAATGACTCGTATGATCCGGATCTCTTCAATGACTGACTCAGAAGACCCTGAGTCCGTAAAATGATCCGGATTTGCCATCTCTACCACCTATGCCAGAGCCAGCGGCCCACCGAAGGCAGCAGCCCACAAACGGCAGAGGCCCACTGGGAAAACACACACACACACACACACACACACACACACACACACACACACACACACACACACACACACACACACACACACACACACACACACACACACACACACACACACACACACACACACACACACACACACACACACACACACACCCCAGCGTTGCAGTCGGGAAGAAAAGCAATGTGGAGCGGCACCTCACCACTTCATAAGGAATTTAACCGTGACACTTTTCGAAATCCCGTTTGTGTCCCCCCACTTTACAAATATGTTTATTTTGTTACGCAAGCCGTCATCGCCACGGAGGAGCACATAGCCTCTGTGAGCGAGCGAGACAGAGAGAGCGAGAGAGAGCACACCTTTATCTATTTAATATAGTTGTAAAAAGTAAAGTAAGAAACCATTCCAATGTGTACTATAGGACAGTAAAAAAAAAAAATAGGGGAGTGATTAGTAAAATATGCATAAATAAAAAGAAAGAATGCTAACTAGGTAACATAAGATAAGAATAAACAAGTTTAAATGATTTGTTATTGGTTGTGATCATATTCTAAAGATGTTTGGATTATTGAAAAGTATACAGCTCCGTTTCATCTGAGTGTTGAGAGCTGTATCCATCAATTCATTTTGTGCTCAAAGTGCACCAGATTGATGCATTTAACTTCGACATTTAAAAAAATATTTTAGTAAACACTGAAAACAGGTCCCACAGACCCAAACAGCACACAAAGGTTAAAGGTAAGCATATAATAATGTTAAAATGTGCTCAATATATACACTGCAAAAAACAAAACAAAAAGGAGTAAAAGTAGCTCACCTGTTCAAAGTGGGGAGTGGCAGAAAAAGTTTGAGAACCACTGATCCAAGCCAACTGAAAATACTTGTATCAATGAAGCTTTAGATCACACCCCTATACTTAACCTTTAGTATTCGTTGCTGCTTGTGTCAGTGTGACCTGAGACTTTTATTTACATATTGATCAATAGATTCTTACACAATATAGGTCCGAATGAGTCATGTGTGTTGCCACACGCTGGGCAGTGCAGCATTTCATCTGCATGATAAAGCCGATATGGCCACGCTCTTTTCTTTTTTAAGCCCCACATATCTCTAAATGAGATCCCCATTGGTGCTCTCGCGTGACATCTGAATAGGTGTTTCTATAACAAGTTGATTCTCTGTATATATTGAAGCATTTGTTGAGCCACCTGCTGTACTCATTCATTCACAGCTCTGTATCCATGATTTCATTCTCAGTGCGTGTCACCCAGGTTCAAGCCCCCTGACTTCAGACTGCAGCCCCTGTGAGCAATACAAGTAAACACTGTTATTTTACTATCTTGCCCAAACAACCCATTAAAAGTTAATCATGTGGGGCCACGCCTCATTGCACACACCGATACAGCCATTACCACCCACATTTCATCTTTTTGTGTTTTCACAAACATGGGCAGGAGTTTATTTCCACAATACACTGGCTAGTGGTCAAACTCTGTGCTGTTAAAGAAGGTCCAAGTCCCCTTATCTGCACTGATAAAGCCTGTTAAAACGACTACTGAGTGTTGTTCTAGTTATATATCATTAACCAGCACACTGGCTGCCAGCATGTGACCTAAACAATAAATAACCCAAAACTGATCTACAATTCTGAGTATTCCCCCTGAAAAATGGAAACTGGGCCGCAGTGATACCACATCCGCTAAAGCAGGCCTGGACGTTTGAGGCTTATAATGGTTAGATCCGTGCCACACAATGAAATGATTCCCTGTCAGAGACCAGACTAAATTGACCATGAAAATAGTAGAAATGATGATGATGGTGATGCTTTTTCCTGATATAGGACTATAATCAAGGAAGTAATTTTGTTCGAGTAGCAGATTGTGCCAAATTTAAAAAAACATGGAAAGTGTATGATTATTGGAAACATTCTTCTAGAGCACTTTGGTTGATACAAATTACTTCCTGCTGTAAATCACAAAAATATGTTCTGCCAAACGGTGATCTGTGTATTTTACTGACATGTTGGTGAGATTCTTAAAGTTGTTTTTATAGCTATTACACAAGTGGAAACTGACAAGACAAACTGCTGCATTAGAGGCTTTCACTGAGAATCAAAAGCATAAATCGAGACATTTCCATCTCCTCATTAATGAGATGTTCTGTTTACATATCAAGTCAGGCAATACATTAACTTTAAAGGTGAAGACTTGTGTGTACCATAAACACACAGCGCACACTAACCACACATCTTCTTTAACTCATCTAAAGACCTTTTAGATTTTAAAATGTGGGCAGGACACACAAATAAACAAAGAAACGGACACACAAACACACACATAACAGATAAATCACCCTAAGGTGAATATATATGCCTCCATGGCCTCTCACCTTGTTGTCAGTACATGGTAGGCTTTCTCACGCAGTTCCTTTTTCTCTGTGTGCGTTTGGCTCTGGTCTCGATGACTGCGGGACAAAGCATTAAGCGTCTTCACTATTACAGTCCATTAACATTACATGAGAGAGTCAATCACATGTACAACCTGGAGGCTCCCTTGAGCTTTTTTTATCCGTGGAAAAACTTGGAGGACCACATGCATTTTCAATTAGGCTGTGCCAAAAAATACTTCCAATCAAGTACACCAGTCTGTGCTGTATATGCCGTATATTACATATGTTGAAATGAGGTCTGACAGGCATGATTAATACATACTGGGCATATCATTATTTCACCTAAAGCTCTAATGTATAAAGTGTCAATGTTCTTTTTCAAATCAACCTAATGTGATATTCAATCATATAAAATAAACAGGTGACTTCACTCAGAAAATGTGTATGTTAGAATCATACATCAAGCTTATGCAAGGAACTAGCTTTTTGACATTTTCTAAATATACCTTATTTAATTAATTAATTGACAAACAGTTAACAAACATATTCATGTGAATATATATATATTACATTTAAAAAATATACAAAAAAACACCTAACACTAACCCATTCCCCTAACATCTAAACTAACTACTACATGGTCCCAAAACATGATTTCAATTGTCTTTACAATGTTTAACATAGGTACGATATATATAGTGTCCGAAACAGGTGTATCGTGATGGCATTGTTTCTTAAGAAGATTCCTTTATTTTTCATTAAGTAAATAAAAGCCCTACTATTGTTATGTTAAAGTATACATGTTATAGTAATCAGAAGATAAATCATTTGTGAAATACTTGAGTGTCATACTCAGTGGGACATCATATACTGTTGATGACCTACATTAATCAGTAAACAAATCTATTTGCTCACATAGTGATCAAGTTTAAGTTCCTACACACCCTGTGACGTGTTTTCAGGGACTAGAGGAGAATTATTGGAGGATTTTTACAAGAAGTATTTGTACTAAAAACAGTATGAAAATCACTTTAATATTCAATCAAGCAATTAACATAGATTACATTTAAAGCACTTACTTATGATCCACTTGAGTGGTGCAGCTGTGTGACAGAAAGGGGTCCAGATTGTCCCCGATACATTCACATCCTCAGTGCTGTCAGTCCCTCCGCTCAGCGGGATATCAGCTGGCTCCTGAATGAATGTTTCTTCATCAAAGCCAGGTAGCTTTTTTATTTTCTGCCAGTGTGACAAACAAGTTTTACAAGCTCGGTGCAAGTCCTTCTGGCTCTATTGTCCTTTCTCTCTGAGAGTTCACAAGTATATGTCAAAATTAATCCATTTGATAGCCGTGCGTGTCCCGGCTCTGTGTGCGTCACGTTCTGCTCTCGCAATGTGCTGTGCCTCCAGCAGCACCAGCAGAAATGAATCTGAGCTCCGTCTGCTCCTACCTCCCCCTTCCTCCCCCTCTATCCCCTCCTCCTGGGTCAACCAGCCTGTCCTTTAGGACTGAGGGTGGAGCGTGGAGCCAGGAGTGGAGGGAGTGTTATACATACCTATGAAGTGTATGAGAGAGAGAGTGTGTGTGAGAAAGACAGAGAAAAGGAGACAGAGGGAGGTGGAAAGGAGCACTGGGTGTATCTGCATGTGAACGTGAGTGTTTGTGTGCAAGCTTGTGTTGAAGTTAATGTTTGTGTGTGGATGTCAGTAAAGCACCACCTCTCAATGTAATGATTTATGGCCGATGTGGATCATTGATACACTCCGCTCATTACATTACATTTAGCTGACGCTTTTATCCAAAGCGACTTACAATTACCAATTACAGGGACATTCTCCCTGGAGTAACTGAGGGCTAAGTGCCTTACTCAAGGGCACACTAGTGGTGGTGTTCCTGGCGGGATTTGAACTCACAACCTTCCAATCTTCAGCCCACCTCACTATCCATTAGACCACCACTATCCCCCTCATGTTTTTATTCAAAGCTCTCCCCTGTTTTGCGCTCACTTGCCCTCCATCTCCTTTGTTGATGGTGGACAAGGGCCGGCACACTTCCACCTTGCATGGAATGCCGATTGGCTGAGTCAGCCCGGCCAGCTGCGGGTCACGCCCTTGGTGCACACACAGAGCAGTGAAGGTTAGAGCAAAGATATGAAAATGCTGTCTTTAAGGTTTAGTGTCAAAGCTGTCACACTCACACAGAGACGTGATGTCAAGAAAACGCATCTAGCGTGAAGGACACAGGTGAACTCAACGAGTGAATTCAGAAACCATTTCATGCACAAACTAAATCTATACAGTCAAATGTCAGTGATGGACACAAATGTATGTTGACAAGGTAATTGCAGCTTCCTCTTACTTATTCCTAGTTAATTGAAATATGTATTCATTGTCATTCAGTGGCAGCCGCTCTCACTCAAAAAGCATGCTATACCCATGGGGCACTCTCTGTGTGTCTAGCCCAAAGCCATCGATCCTTAGCCAGCAGAGGCTGGATACTCCCATGAAGTCAGAAAACCTGGTGGTCTTCTTCTGGCAGGGACGCCAAGTTCACATCAGGTCTCCCTCAGTGGAAGCACTCCATCCTGCCGCTGAGGAGGCGGAGCCGTAAACTCCCTGAGAATCACTCTAATATGATTATCCGGGCTCCGCTGGCCTTACAGGACGTTTTGTCACAAGGCATTAATGCAGCAAAACAAACCCACGTTTAAAAAGAACATATGAGCAAGAAAAGGCATTATTTAGACTAGGAAATTCAGTTGAATGTGTGACAAAGAGATAATGAATAGTTTTAAAGTTATGAGAATAACCTTGTAGAGTTTCTGTATGAAGTATTTTATCTGGGAACACATCAGCCTACATTACGATCTTATCATATTCTAGGTAGAGCATCTCGAGCCCATCATTATCTGTCACAGAGCAGCACTAAAGTTTAAAAAAGGTCTGAGAGACCTTAAAATATCTCAATCTATGAGTAACCTTTCCTCAGAGATGTCTGTCTGGGCATTCTCCCACATGTTAAGGCTTATGTCCAGCTTCTAATATCGTGCCAGCAATAAAGATGACAGCTGTTTTCCTCAGAGAGGACCGCTCTTTTGCAAATACCTTTGAATGACTCACTTCAGAGACATCTTTATTCAAACTGAAGTGTTGACAATTATAAAAATCTTGCATGTAGGTTATGTGAATCTGCCGCATGTTCAATCAGGGGCCTTACTCTGCAGGGAAGAGAGAAATATGGAGGCAGTCGTGGAAAACTCTGAACCAGTCCCAGAAACAGTCACTCAATCAAGTTCACTTTTCTGTTCAAAGTGTCTGGCCTTATCTCCTTATCTCCCAGTCTGTCAGAGACCACAAACATGGCTGTCATAAACCTTCAATAAGGAGAGACTTAACTGAATGTACAATCAGGATTTATTGTTCCAATAACTTGTATATAGACTCGTACTGCACTATTCCACTTTTTTTCTCTCTCACTTTATTTTAGAACTATTTTTCTTTTTGTATCACTTTTACTATCTGTATTATTATGTTGCATTGTTGGAGAAGCCTGTGACCTAAGATTTTCAACGACATAATTACTCTGTAGCTATGTTAGTTTGACAATAAAGAACCTTGAACCTTGTCATCCTTTTGGACAGCCTGAATTCGACCATGTCTTAGGTTAAATCATGCACAGAGCCCAGAACAACACCTGGTCTGATAAAGTTGGCACAGAAAAGTTAGCGAACATCTGAAGGAATCATTAACTGTCAACCGCCCCATGAATAACAGAGACAGAAGAAGAATTTGGGATTCACCTTGTGTGATTCCATAATAACCAGGAACCAATACTGCGAGAGATTACTCTGCCAATAAAGTGCAGTTTTATTTCTATCAAAGGCCCAATTACTGGCATATTCTTTGAGCTATTTTCCATGAGAAGATACAAGCATGAATCCCCTATGCGAACTTGTCACTATTAAAAGTACACATTCCAGCTTTATGGGGGCATGGGGTTTAATGCTCTTATGCAAAGCTATGTGGAACAGGTAACATATGTTATCTGAGAAACTATCTACACATGTATACAAATAAATCTTACATAGTTTCAGTTTTATTTGAAGTTTTAACTATCTACCTCTCCTATTTCTCCAGCCTCCAGCACAGTCAATAAAAGTCAAAGGAATTTTGATTGTTGTGTCCGCACCATTGAAAATTATTCAAGCAATCATGAAAGCTGTTCACTGTGTGCTGTGACACATTGCTGTTGAAGACACTTCTCAATGCTGTGAGTGTTTTATACTAAATTCCTGTCATATCCATTATATTGTGGATATGGAATCTCAATAGATTCATATTTTACACATAGACATATAAAATTGAAACTATTTGAATAGCTAAATACCAGTAGAGATACGTGAGAAACATGTTTGTTTTTTGTAACTAAAGTGAACTCATTGTATTAGGCCTGTATTGAATATAGTAGTTGTATTGTAGTTGCAGGGAATAGAGGAACTCCACTGACACACATCAAACTCTGTTCTTCGGGAGTTGTATAAAGCCTTTTTTCACGAGCTAATCAAAGGTTTTGCATGATACTAAACTCCATTTTAAGACGAAGCTACAGCTGAGAGATTGAACAAATAATGACACTTTTATTCATGAGGCACTTTGGCATGGAGCAATGCTGTTGTTAGGATCAAATGTGTTGTCTACAAGAGTTACAAAAGCGCACAAGGTACAATCTACAAGTGCTCTGTAAACAACTGCACTGTTGGAAAGCGCAGACATTATGGAAGCGTGTCTTGGTTACTTGATATTCATTTCAAAAGACAGGTCATGCGTGACGTAATCAGAGCATTAAGCGGTAAGTGTGGTGAATTAATTCATCATATCAAGCTCTGCATATGGTCACAGTATGATAGCCATAGCCACTTTTCCTAGAGGCGTACAGCTATTATCTCTCTGTGCTTTGTCATTCTGATAGCTGGAGAAGACAAAGACGAATAAGCTGAATGGCAGACCTGCGACTCTCACTGCCAAGTTGAATGTTAATGGAAGCTTGTGAAGACAGATCGGATCCACTGTCCTACACGGATACATTTGGATCACTTGTAGTGTGGATTTGATACGAGAAAATAAATGACACTTCTCTGCTGTATGAACACAATTCACATCTTTGGCAGTTTGCATATTTGGGTGCATCTATGTATTGAGGCTACATGTGTGCATGTGGAATTTCATGGTGTGAGGATCAAAAGGATCTGCCCGGATCCAGGCATTTTAAATAGATTAATGAATATTTGCTTTATAAACACAGCCTATTTCTGATCCTTTGTTTATTTGCTCAGGGCAGGCCATCTGTCAAACGCGCTCTCCTTTAAAAAAACAATCAGACTGTTTCTTCAACACAGACTATTGTGGACTAATGTTTTCAGTGAACTGAAGAGCTGCTCTTAGTTGAAAACTGCCTTTCAAATTCAATTTATTCTACTTATGAAGAGAGACTGTTTACAATCCTGTTGAACTTTTCTGTCACAGAAAGTCCAAGCCAATCAGCGACTAAAGATGATTGAACAGCTTTACCATTTAGAATTATAAATTGTGCTGCTGTAACGTGTTGCGGGAAATCAAATGAATAAACACCGAAAGCAAAACAAAGATAATATATAGCTACAAATTATTCTTAAATCTCGATCTCTACATGTATAGCAGCCATTCCATTCCCAATGAATTCCAACACAGAGAAATGTTGCCAGTATGCTTATAGAATCAAATTAAATGTACTCAAACACATACCTACAAATAGTAAAACCAGAGAAACTGATAATGGTCTCTTAATTTTTTTCAAAGGTTTATATATATATATATTGGACCAAAACATTATTTACAGTGTCCGTGCCACCCAGGGGTCCTGAGAACCGGCCTTTCCTGCCGAAGGGTCTGCGGTACATAAGTATTTTCTGCAGGGTCGTTTTAACAGTCGAGAAATATAAACCCGTTTTTTTCCTCTTTCTCATCTGTTTCTTCTCCTCTCTGTGGCCCCTCACTTGGTTTAGTACTGTGTTTTCTGCTCAATCTGTAAGAGCTGCATTACTGCTAGATGGCAATGATGGATTTTCTGTGTGCGCAGCAAACACACAAAAGACTCAGATAAGGGCTGGATAAATAACAAAGCAATTATTGACAAAAAATAGGACGCAACAGAAAAAGAGCCTGGTGTGAAAACGCACAAAAGAGAGGAAAGGAATACAAAAATACAAAGCAGTGAAAAACAAGAAGGTTAAAAAAATTGAGGGGGAAAAAAAAGTTTTCATAGTTTCAACCCAGCATGAAGATACTTTAGAAATATTTCGTTTTGATCCACTAATGAGAGTTGTGTTTAAGGATTTGCCAGTTGAATCGTCAATCTGGGGAGGCTACAACAAAAACAAACTTTGAAAGCTCTCTGCCCCTGGAGGATTTTCCCCTCTGCACGCATTATCTGTCCATCCATCCTCCCCTATAT